AAAAATATATTAGGTGATAAGTTTCTAGACGCCAAATTAATTTTTTTTCAATCGTTTGCTGAAGAAATTGAACCATTCTTAACAGAATTTCAGTCAAATGAACCAAAGACTCCTTTTTTAGATGATAGATTACTTAAATTACATATTAATATTTTAGAAAGAATAGTTAAGCCAGAGTACACATGCGAACCAAAAATATCATGAAAATAAATTTACTAGATGAAAGTATTTTATTGACAGCAGATAAAATAAAAATTGGTTACGCAACTAAAAATGCATTAAAAAAATAAAACAATATTTCAGAGTTAGATATTTTGAGATTTAAAAATGGTATTCGTACTATCATAAAATTTTTTGTTGACAAAACTTTTCTTAAATCTCCTTTAAAGTACCCGTTTGTTAGAGGTTTATCTTGTTTTGATCCATCTTTTACGTTAAACAAGAGCTTTGCACGAAAACGTTTATCAATAGTTTTAGAAAAACTAGTCGATTGTAGTATTGTACCAGCTATTACAGCTGAAATAATTGAGAGAGAATTCAAAGAAATTATATCGCTTGAAACAACTAAAAAATTATTGAAAAGTTATAAGTCAGAAGACAGACTAGACGAGTTTTGGGTGAAAATAATAAATATTCACGGAGCTAGTAAATATAGTAATTTATTTGACTTAATAAAAATTATTATGATTTTTTCACACGGTAATTCTGAGCTTGAAAGAGGGTTTTCTATTAATAAGGACTGTATTATGGAAAATCAAAAGGAAAAATCATTAATAGCTCAAAGAATGATTTACGATGCAATTAAATCGAGTCAAAAACCTTTACACGAATTGGAAATAAGCAAAAAGTTAATTTCTAGTGTTCGCATGTCATCATCTTTATACAAAGAAGATTTAACCAAAGAAAAGAAAAAAATCGTGATAAAGAACTAGAAGAGAAAAATGCAAAAAAAAGAAAAATTTTAGCTTTAAAAGAATTAGAAAGTAAAAAGAAAAAAATAATGGATGACGCATTAAAAGAAAGTGCTGTAGTAGAGAAAGAAATATTAAATTTGAAACAGATATAAGTTTAGTTTGTTCAACAGATAAATATTTTTTATGTAATACATGTTTTATATGTTTATTATAAAAAAAAGTGCTATTAGATAATGATTGACTGACAAATAAAAATTATAACTCATATTTGACAAACTTTTATTATTAAAAAACTCCTGGAATTTTTAAAATTAGGCTCTGGAAAACCTGGAAATCTCTGGGATTTTTTTTCAACAGATGCGGTGGACACCATGAGTAGATATTTGTTTAATTTATATCACAAGTTACAGCAGTTTTGAGATAAATGGATTTTTTATAAAAATCTTTGAAGTCTCACTTTTAATGACTCCTGTTCTTGTTTTCAACTTCTGTTGGATATATATACTTCCAAATAGAGGCTACCTCAACATTCTTTGTCTACTTTTGTTTGGATACATTTTTAGTTGTTTTCTTTTCGGAAGTGTAACTCTTTTAACCAGTGTGATCACTAAGTTAAGCATTTTTTTTTTTTTTAATTGAAAAAGTTTCCCTTAATCTTCAATTGAGGCTAAATCAGAACATTTAAAATTAAAAAGTATCTTATCAAATACACGTCAGTGATAAAAGTATTTTTTTTCGGATACTTACTAAAATTGACCATTTCAAAATGTTCTATATTTTTCAACAATAAAACTTAGAAGTAAAATATATTCTTAATTACTTGGTATGGAAATCATTTTTATTTTTTTAACACATTTTCAGACCGGTTCAACAGAATCAGTCACATATAGTATACATTATGTATGTGTTGCTGCGAGAGAGAAAGGAATCATTAGCATACGAGTCATTCCACGAAAACTTCGTTCTTCCTTGTTTAAATTGTTTAAGTAATCGCATTGAACTTTTTTAAACGGAATAGGTTTAAATATTAAGGAATACTTAAAATAAACTAATTATTTCTGACTGTATGTTTCTACATAAAATCGAAATAATAAATGGCACTAGCATGAAATGGTAAAACCAGATACGTTAGTACCATAAACTTGTTCATCATAGTGTAGTTTTAAACAATCACGTCAACTTATTCAGTTTTAAATCATTTTGTTGTGGCCTTAGAATCGTAATTGCCGTGGTGAATTTTAACACAGAGTTTCTGAAGTAGCAACAGAGACTAGCCCAATAGTTTTCAGCTTATTCAAACTCTACATAGTTTTAAATAATGCAAAAAGTGGAAACACTAATTTAAGAAATATTTTCTCACGTATAAAAAAATTGCACTTTTCGTGAAATGGCCCATGTACATAAAATCTGCAAAGTCACTGTACTCGATTGATTCGCAAGATCACATCTCGCTCGCTTTTGCCTGCCTTCCACAGTCAACCTTTGGTCATCCAACGGCAACATGCTTCGAAAGATAAGTACCTACTGATATTATGTGCGGTTGAAAAATTTTTAATTAAAGTGTACTTATGTACCTAAACTCCGAATACATTGGGTGTAAAATCAACTTGCACTTTCGATCATTATTGGTTTATTAGTTGGAAACATGTGTGATCAACAAGCGATAATTTTTGTTTTTTCTTTTAAACTGCCAACCAAGCCAAGATACTCAAGATCGCTCTCTTGCATTTATTTATTTATTTACTATCGTCATTAATTTGTAAAACAACCTTCGGTTCAATAAGAATTATTTGCTTGCACAGCAATGAGAATTGAAGCTTACGGGGGATACTTATTCAAATTATGAAATCCCCATTCATGTAATCTCATAAAAAAATTGAAGTCACAAAGCCTGCTCGTTGACCGGGAATTTACATTATGAACTTTCGAGTAAACAAACCCAACTAAATGTCATAGCCTGAAACCATTGATCACTTTTCTATCATAATGGGACTTTTGTATTTTAGAAATTTTTTACTTTATTATATTCTTGTTTTGTATTCTTAGATCGCACCACTGCTCCGATCTGCCAAGGAGTCCTTTTCGACGACCGCCGCCTCAAAGAACATTTCTTTTGGTTAGTATACACTTCACATTTTTCTCTATGATTAGCAGGTATTAACTTATAGAATATTGATAAATAAAGAGGAAAATTGAAATCTCAAAAATAATAGATAAAAACACAACTTTTTCTCATCTTATAACCTTGCATGATTTTGTGGAATCACGTGATCAATGTTAAAATCATATCCGCCTAAATTTTCAAATTGTGTACTTTCGTATTTATGTATACATGTCATTCCACCAAAAACAGTCTATTCAGTCGATTACAATGTCGTGTAAGGAGAAATCGATCTGAAAGTAGTTTTCCTAATGAATGAAGCATAAAATTTAGATCATAAAAAAAGTATTGATCTAGTTTGAGGTGGAAAACAGGGGCTAAATTAGCTTTGTGGGCTGATGTTTCACTAAAAAATTTAGTTTTGACGACGCGGACGCCTGGGAGCTACGGGTTTTTATTTTTTCGGCGGTATAGAATCAAAGTTAGTTACGTAAACAACATTTACATACACTTTCGAGAACCAAAATAATCGTATCGAAAACGGGATGCTGTTGTACTCGCCAAAAATGCTCTCACAAATGAACGAAATTTAGTTTGGTTTCTCCAATTCAAACATTTTATATTTTACAGATGAGATTGCATGCGTTGCAGGAATTTTTTCCGATTTTTCCATCACAATTGTCCAATACTATAGGCTCGCAAATTCGTATGGTCAGGCATCCCCCGCCACTAAAAAAAACTAAGAACCCGTAACGCTGAAGAATGTCATGTACATATTCGCAAAGTATTCGGTTATTGACTCGGAAGGTGATAGATTAAAATCTAGCTAATATATGCATGCGATACAAGTGCAAGAACGAAGTTAATTTTTATTGGGTGCGTCGAAATCTCAATTTTACGATTATTTTATAAGAGCTCGTAACGCTCTTTTTTATCATGAGCCCGTAATAAAAGCTGACATTGAAAAATTATTTTCCAGCGCACCCCAAAAAATGATGTTTGTCCTGTTTGGGTTAGTAACAATACCAAGAAAGTATGAGGAAAATTAAAAACCCTTTTTTGTCTTTGTCCATTTCAGCCTTTGAAATAATCTATTTTTTGCAGAGTAATCCATATATACATAATTAATAATTATAAGGATGGATTTTTATTTCAAACATTTTGTCTGCTTAAGGAGGTTCGATACAATCTTTCAGAGGGGAGGCGAAGTGGGGTCAGGGGTGTGGGAAGCTTATACAGTTTATTCCATACATAACATACATGCATCAGTCTTATAAACCTAAGCAAAGTTTTTATTTTTATTTTAAAAAATCTTTAATTTTCTCTCTAATTAGTATGGATACTGATAAAAATCAGAGCATCTTATAAATCTTCAATATTTGAAGTATCGTAATGTATATTTTTTTCGATTTTTTATTATAGAAAATTCGTTATTAGAAAAAATAGTGTTCGATACACAAATATCACCCAATCGGGGCCACCTTACAGACCCTCGGACCGCAAAATAGCCTCGACGGCAATAGCACTTCTATGCCAATTATGCCAAAAATTTAATAGAATTAGTTTCCTTTTTTAAGTTATTATAGAATTTTTTTATTCCTTATAAAACCAACATTATATGTTAAATTTTTTCATAGGATTTTTCCAGCATCTCAATAGGATATAAAAATAACTATCCTAATTATTTAAGTTAAAAAAAATTATTTCTTTTTAGAATTGAATGACACTCAGAAAGACTTCCAAGAGCTTGCAACGAAATTTACCAGAGAAGAAATCATTCCAGTGGCTGCAGAATACGATCGTACTGGAAATTACCCCTGGGACATTATTAAAAAAGCTTGGGGACTTGGTCTTTTGAATCAGCATATTCCCCAGAGCGTTGGTAAATCTCTATACTATTTTTATTTTCAATATTACTAATGTTGCTCCAGCATCAAAGTTATACAAATATGACAAAAATAATCAATTATTATTATGTGATTATTATAAATATATTGAAGGTTTTTAAGTCATAATGACTCAATCATCATATTGTACTGATAAATTTTTTTTTTCAGGTGGACTTGAATTGAGTTTATTTGATTGTTGCGTTGTCAGCGAAGCTATTGCTTATGGTTGTACAGGTATAGAAACTGCTTTGGAGGCATCAGGTCTAGCGGTATGTATACACCCATGCGTCCATATCTCTGAAAAATCACGAGTTAAGAAGTAACTGCTTTTCGAAATAGTACATTACGTACGAGTTTGCAAAGGCTTCGATTTACGAACCGAGAGGTTTATGGCACGAGCCGAAGGCGAGGTCCGTAACAAGATTCGTAAAGAAGCCTTTTCGAACGAGTTTCGTATAATATTTTTCCGCCTGAGAACTCAAAATCAAGCGGCGGAGGTGCTATTTTGAGGTTAGAAGGCGGAAAAAGTTTTTTTCTAGTCTATTCATTCTGGTTTTATTATCCAGTTGCATCGGTGGCATGTGTTGCCAGCCCTCATTCTCTTCGTTTAGCCTATAGCACACCCTTTTTTTAATATCTTAGAAAAAACTACGTCGAAAACAATTACGGAATTAAAATATCGGTGAAATTTCGAGACAAACGAAAAACAGTTCTCTTAACAACTTTACTCATAGAAAAAAATTATTTTAATAGTTGGCATAATTTATTTTTGAAGCAAACCCCTGTAATTTTGGCTGGAAATAAGAAACAGCAGAAAAAGTATCTTGGCCGATTAATTGAAGAACCTATTGTTGCGGTTAGTATAAATTGTTATTTACATTTTTTAATGTTACAACTAGATGTTATTATGGGTTTTTTTTACTCGACTTTTCTATGTATAGGCATACTGCGTGACGGAACCAGGCGCAGGCTCAGATGTTGCCGGTGTCAAAACCAAGGCCGAAAAAAAAGGCAAGGAATGGATACTAAATGGAACAAAAGCGTGGATCACTAATGGAGGTGTTGCAAACTGGTATTTTGTCTTAGCTAGATCAAATCCTGATCCAAAAGCTCCAGCCAGTAAAGCTTTTACAGCATTTATTGTTGAACGGGAATGGGAAGGGGTGCAGCCTGGGCGCAAGGTATGTAAATGAATTGTTTTTCTTGAAAATTATCATCTTCATTTTAACAGCTATTTTAAGTTATTATATACAAGAAAGGGATAAATTTTTAATAACAAGCACATCAAGAAACCCCTGAGTTAATTTTTTTTTTTAATTTTCTTAAATTATGATTTGATCATTTTTTTTCCTTATGACAATCAGATATTTAAAAAATTAGTCTCATGTAGAGTTGCTCTTTATAAATTTCTTTGCATCGTAACACTACACGTGAAAACTTAAATAATAAAACGAGTGCTTATGTTCAACTGTTAATAGGAAATAAACATGGGTCAAAGAGCTTCTGATACTCGTATGGTAACGTTTGAAGATGTCAGGATTCCAGAAGAAAATGTATTACTTGGAGAAGGGGCTGGATTCAAAATTGCCATGGGAACATTTGATAAAACCAGACCAGCGGTAAATTATAAAATTTACAATAGATATTCTCAAAAGATGGATGTTTATTAATTTTAATCTAATGAAACGTCTTATACGTAGATATAGAGCTGTCACTCTAATGCGCGTAAAGTTCGGACTTACGTACAATAAAACCCTATAAGTGCAAGTTTTTTCTAAAGAAACATTTTTTTATATTGAAGTTATACTTCTATAGGCGCGTTCTATCCCACAGAGTAAATCAACGATTTCAGATTGGTGACCTCGAGAAAAAGTGTAACGGGAGTGGATTTCGGTTGATTCTACCCTCTTCGCTCCATCCCTCTTGTCATATTTCCGGTCCCCCTACAACACACAACGCCACCACACCGCACCGCACTACAGGACACATTTTTTTTAAGTATTTATTTTTCTTTTACCAATCTACAAAAAAAAAAAAAAAAAAAAAAAAAAAAAAAAAAAAAAAAAAAAAAAAAAAAAAAA